AGAGATGTCAACCATGGAAAGCTCAAATACTCTACAAGTTTGAATTACAAACATCGGAGTGTCACTTATTAAGAAAGAGAATTCAACAATGGCAAGAAAAGAAAGCTTAACGGCTATGAATCAAATACCTGGTCAGCTTCAAAAGTCAGTTGTAACATCTGACTTCGTAGTACTACAATTTCTTCTTCAAGCTTCCTTTTTTGAAGAACCTCATCTCCAGAGCTATCTGGAGCTTTAAGATTTCAGCATCTACACCTGCCTAAAACACGAAATTATTCCTCATATAGCCAGTATTAATAGAAGTTCATAACTTCATATAAATTTATTTGTTATTCGCATAAGAAGTATACCCCTGCATCTGTGCACTGCCCTAATTGACTCTTAAGTTTATCAACCTCCTTTTCAGCTTCCTTTCTCGTATGAGTTTCTTTCTCTAGCAGTTTTTTCACTTCAGCAATGTCCTCGGCAATTGAGGAACCAGGCCCCTGAAAATTACGATGAAGAGAAAATATGTTAATTAAAGAGAAACACTAGATGGCCCAAAGTCAGATGTACCCATTTCATACAAAGACCATTATGCTTTCATCATCATGCAACTAATATTTGTACACCAATATCAAAAACAGTCTTCTACCACTACACTGAATGCCAGCCAAATGAGTCCACAACAAGAGATAAATATGTATTTCAGATATTGACAGGACATAATAAGATAAATTCAATTAATCACTTTTCCAATAAACTCATCAAAAAGAAAAAACTTTGAAGTTGTATGAAAATTTCTTTTAGAGATAATCAGACAAAATACGAGACAAAAATCTGACTGATGGATGAAACTTTAAGCTACATACCCCAGAAAATTGGAAAAGACATGGCTCAACATTGGGCATGCTACTAGTATCTAAAGTGAAACTTAAACACAAGTAAAAATGTAATGGCCAGGTTGGGAAAATGTGCACAATTCCTTGATGATGTTATTGAAAAGAAACTGCATAATGTCATAATGCATTGAAAGAGAGTACCAACTGGCTAGCCATGAAGTCACATGATGAACTTAACATGAAACATATATGGTTTTCAATGCGTAGTACCTCTCCATTACATTTATCCTTCATTAAGCCATCACACCCACGCTTCCGTTGATTTTCTATCATCTTTTCCTCCGGTATCTTAACTGATTCCATATATTCCATCTGGCACTTCAGCCGTTTCTTCTGTAAACGGAGCACGCGAGATGTTCAACATCAATACTCTCAGGCAAGTAATGTGTTCAGGAATAATTGAAAATAGAAAACCATGAGGTTAAAGAATCACCAATCTGAGAGGATAACTAACCTCTAAGGCGTCTGAAATTTCTCTCAGCCTCAGAGACGCAGTTTTCGGCTTCTAAGTTTATTCTTTCAACTTCATCATCAAAAGCTTTCTGTTGCCTTTCATTTTCTGCAATTAGCTTGTCCGTCTGTATTTCAAACTTTCTAGCCAAACTTTTATAATCAAACTCTTCCTTTATTTTCAACATATTTTCCACCTTCATTGCCTGTATGACATGGAGTTAGCAAAATACCATTAAAAGCATATTCCTTCCAGATATATTAGAAACATTGTTACACGAGACATGACGAAATGAAAAGATAAAATTCTATGAAATGAAATTGTGATAGTTGATCAAGAAAGAAAGCCAAGTGCCTTCACTTTATAATCAGTGTGTTGTTTAATAGCAGATATTAAATATAGTAAAGGTATAGTATAATTTGAGAGCTTTTTGATATAAGAACTCACCCTTTGGCCAAACAATATCGTACTTGCAGTCTCTCCTCGATGTCATGGGGAGGAAACGATGGTCACAATTAATGAGGTTCGGGCAGTTCCTGTGATACAAAGAATCCATCCCATAATAACTCCGAGAAACTTACCAACTAGCTAGATATAAAAAATCCAAAATAAAAGAATAGATCGTAAACATCTTCCCCAAAAAAGCTTTTAGTGAGGTTAAAATTAAGCCCAAGCACATGCTCACTTAAATGACATAAAAGACAACTTACCTCCAAATGAATCTCTGAGCAGCCTCGTAAGTTTTGAATCACGAATGGGCACATGAGCACTATTCTCAGCTAAAGCATTAATACACTTTCCCAAAGTACTCAGTGACAAGTTAATACACTTAGCTTCCTCCAACATGTGACCCTCGCTTCCTGCCAAAAACGAAATGAATGGAACTCATCATCTACCATCGGGATTGAACTCATAAGTAAACCCAGCACCAGCATTTGAGAAAGTATAAAGCTTTATAAAGGTATTATGGGAAATAAAAATTTAGTTGCCCAAGACATGAGATGCAATGCGAACAAATTTTAGGTGGTGAAAAAAAATGCTCCCTAACATGCAGTGTGCATTTGTCTTGACACTGGAGAGCAAAAAAGGCCATGGAATGCACCTGACTTTTGGACGCGCTCTGAGCCTGCCAAATCTATCAAAACCAGTTTGCTTTTCCGGACAAGAGGCTTTGGAGAAGACTTGTCTGTTGGAATGGAAACTTCTTCTCCTAAGACTGACCTCTTAATATGTACCTGCACTAACATGGTTGAATATATATTATTTCACAAAAAGGACAACAGCATAAACGACTAAAGGTAGCTAACAAAAATTTAGTCACCATCAAAATAGCATGACTGCGGGAAGATTCAGTATTCAACTTCGTATTTGCAGCAATTCGATGAGCTTCCCCTAACTTCAATAGCTCCAAAACACTCTGATCATCCCTGATTTCTACATGAGTTGCCCCTGGCAATGAAACGTCTCCAGTTCTGGGATCTTCCACAATGGAAATATTATCATTCGCTGGATCAAGGAGATCCTGGATGGTCTCCATGTAAAGCTACAAGGAAACATTAAAATAAACTAGTAAAAGTTCTTACCAAGAATGCAGGAGCTCAAAAGGAATAGCAACTTAAAGTTTAATAAAAATGTCAGACAGCACATAAACTTAAGGGAACAAGAAGCATTTTCTACAAAATAGCACAATTAAACATACATGATGCCATCAAAGAAATTACACTCAATCAATTGGTAGAATTGAGGCATCAACCATTTATAGAATAAAATTCATAAGAAACATAGAATCTGTTTCTGGAGAAACATTAGCTAAAATTTCCTCCATTGAGCGGACCATTATTCCACGAGCGGAGGTATCTTCCTCACCCAATTGTCCAAAAGTAAAAGTTTTGCCAGTTCCAGTCTGGCCATACGCCATAACTGTACCATTATAACCATCCAGAACACTCTGCAGAAAGCCAGAAACCCAAGCAACATGGATAAAATGTCTTGTAACTTGTAAGATTAAATAAGCTATATCCATATAAGCACTTCTTGCTCGTTAAGGCTAATGACAAAAATGATTTAGGGAAAACATTTGAAATGAGACAGACCTCCACAACAGGCTTAGCAACAACTTCGTAGACACGTTTTTGAGAGGCAAATTCCGTAAGCACTTCATCAAACTCGTATGTTTCTGATACTCCAAATAATAATATCGAGGCCGCGTGTATTTTCGTTGCACCAATTATTCTTGGTTACTTCATTGCAACCAAAGTCACCCGCATGTGGTTTCATGATTTCGTTTTTACTTTGAATAACTTTGGTTAACGAGTTTCTTTCTCTCTCTATATATAAAGAATAGTATTTTGTTAAACAATATGAATCTATTTTAGTTTTTTTATAGATTTAAAATCGTTTGATGAGTAAAAATAGATAATTAAGATTAACAGTAGAAAATGAGAAGATATTCATTGAAAAAAATAAATAATGAGTCAATCTCAACTATCTATTTTCATTCATGCAACGATCTTAAATCTGTGTAAAACTAAAGAGTTTTACATTGTGTAAATGAATCCTAACCCTATATATATATATATATATATATATATATATTTAAAATTAAATTTAAAACTTGATAAAACTTATCAAATAGTCTTAATAATTAAAGATAATATTATTTTCTATAGAGATTTTGAGTTTAAGAAGCTACATCTATAAAGATATATGTTATCAATAATTAAAAAAATTACTTAAGCTCAAATATCCAACTCATAATTTTTTATTTTTTCAGAAAATATATGAGTTTTTGTATGCATCGACAGATTGATAAGTTGGATATTACAGGTCGAATATTTTTTAATACACTAGTAGAGCCATGGGGCTACTGGAATACATTTGTTAGGTCCCGGGCTTAATGCTGGAAATTCATGCTTAATGCAAATTTTTTCCCCTTGTTTTTAGTGGTTCTTTTTCAAGGTTTTACCTTGACTTTTAATGCAAAGCTCTTTGAGTCTATTGACAGCCTATTTAAAGAACAAAAGACTTAATCAACAATCAGTTGGTCTAGTGGGATGAGACATTAAGTTCCTTAAACAAAGTCAGGATTCGAATCCTGACGTTTGCGAATGAAGCAAACTGAGTTAGGAGGGTCGCTCTCGCCTCTGTAGTACTCGATCTGAATTAATCGACTAATAAATCAGATATCAATGATTAATTTAAAAAAACGAAAGACCTAAGCCCATTGCCCATGTATTTGCTAGGCTTACTTGTCAATGGGCTTGGAACAACTTTTATATGTCTCGGATACTACTATATATCCATTAATTGTAATCAATATGCTCTGTTAATAAAGTACTTAGGACTAAATCTTTAAAGTTTATTTCATAACATAAACATGAAATATCAAGCTCATTGGTTGGCCCTTCCCCTGCCTAAAGTAAGGAAACCGACACTATATAGGATAATTATTTACTATCAAACTAATAAAATGATTATATCAACTCATTAAATGACCCCAGAGATAAAATAAAAGATCATTGTCCTTAAAAATATTAGATTTGAATAATTATATCTGTAAAATGTACTTACATTGTTATTAAGTTAAGAAAATTCTGAACGTATAATACCTTATAATCACCTCATATTATATTATTTCTTATTCTTAGAATAATCGAATTAAATAAATCTACACAAAAAGTATCCATACATTTAATTATTCATTCAAGAGTGCCCAACAAATTAAAGACGTAAAAATAACATACATACAGCTGCTAAACTCTATGTTGTACACCATCATTCATATACCCATTAAAGCTCCAAAATCAAAGATAAACAACAAATAACCAAAGAAACATCTCCCCCTCTAATTCTTCCTCTCTCTTTCTCTGTATGTATAAATTAAAGGTGGTATTTTCATGGTTCTCAGATCTGATTCTGGGTATTAGACAACTTCTTTTGTAGCTGAGCCAATAGTGTTTGGTTCTCCTGGTGAAGGAAAAATGCTTTCTTTCTCAGCCTCTCGTTTTCTTCTATGATGATTTGATTCTCCACGTATAGTTTCAAGTTCTTCGTTTGCATATCTGTTTTAATGCTGACCACCGTCTTCTTTGTCCCCTCTCCTTTCCTTAATCTTCTCAACCTGTACATACAACACAGCGTCCTTGTTACAAACCAGACACGGACAACAGAACAACGAAAAAGACGAGGAATCTTTAATTAACCTGTCGAGTCTTCGAACACGAACATTATGTCGTGGCTTGCACACACGTTCAGAAGAGTTAACCCACATGTTTTAAGATCGAAACGGGAAAAAAAGAGAAACTTTTGTTCTATGAAAAAACTTGGATAAAAGAGAGAGCTAGGAATAGGAAGAGATGATTGTTGTGTGTGCACCAACTGGGGTGAAAACACAAGAATTATATAGCTGGGAAATTGTATTTTCATCTGAAAACAAAAATGAAAAAGGAAATAGAGAGAGAGAGAGAGAGGCTTTTGATAGTAATGATGGCACAAAGACTCATGATTACTTAGGAGCAGCAATGGAAGAAAGAATGCAAGGGTTTCTTTCTTCTGCGTTGTCTTTATGGAGTGGCAGCACTATTATTAATAAATATGATCGAGTATGTGAAAGACTTGATGCAAAGAGTGTTGGGCACACAGAAAATGACTATTCCTTCTCCATCTTCCTTCACTTTTTTGAATTTTAGAACTTTCTCCTTCAGTTCACCATGCATACCCAGATTTCGATGTGTGTGATTCGCTGTATTCAAACGATTCGGTACAAGTTGTCGACGTTATCATTGCAGTAGAAGATTAACTTGACTCTTATCAATTGGGTATGATTACTTTTAAAAAAAATATTATTGATGTTTAACCCTAAATCAATAAGATTACCTCTCTGTTGTTGTTATTAGAATATTTGATTGATATTTACGAGTAAAAAAAGAAAGAAAAGGAAAAGTTTATGTAACACGGAATTCAGAGGGGAAAAAAACTTTTGATACCTAAATATAATTTTGTCAAATGTTAGTAATATATTAGGGTTTGGAGTATTATAATTTTGGTTTGGAATTTTTGTGGTGTTTGAGTTTGAATAATTAATATATTTATTATATTTCAAAACTCTATAAATTTAATATATAAATTATTATTTCATGCATTGATAATATAAAAACTATCCCACAAGCTTGATTAACTCAATTAACTTCAACTCAATTTGAACAAAATTTTACTCGTCACCTATCTTCCTTTCATATATGAATGAGCAGATTTATTTGACAATAATTAAAATATCATGTGTGGTTAGTCAAAACCATAATTATACGTAGGGGGACCAAGAAATCCTAATGCACCCTTTACTTAAGTACAATATAAATATATTTTTATACTTATCTCTCGAAATAGTATCTCATTCTATTCAAACTACCATAAGCTATCCCTTCTTATTCAAGCTATCAGCCTACATAACACTAAAATTTTAGATTTTAATTATCAAGTTCGTTATGGGTGTTGACTGGCGGGCAAAGATGTTGCGAAGTTGGGTGAAAAGGTAGACAAATAATCCAATCCAACACGTTCTTCTTTTTTCACAAAGAAACCCTTTACGTGTAGGACTCGCTCAGCTTCAAACAAATCCATTTGCTTTTTTTTTCTTATTATTATAATATTATTATGGTTAATGATTTGTCAACTTTTATCATTTGTGCTGATGACTTTGATTAGCAACGTTTTACAAGCTTTTTTGTTTACGCGTTTCTATATTAACAAAAGATTTGGATTAGTTACTTTTGATTTTATGGCCTTAAGAAGGAATTCAGAAGAAAGTGAGTGAGTGAGTGGGGTGTTTTGTGATGTTATAATCATATTTTTATTTTCAAATTATATAACTATATGATACTTGAATGAGAAGGGCTGTCTTGGTCAATGTGGTTAGGTTCTCCATTTCCTTTCATGTAATGTAATATTCGATGTGCTTTGCTTCTAGTAATTTATCAAGACTATGCATATAATCATGAAGTGCATAACATTACTTTAATTTACTTCTTTTATATATATATTTTTACAAAATTAAAATAATTTCACGTACAAAGCTAAAGGGAGAAGAAATTATTTAGGTTAAGAAAAACACATGAATTGTAAGAGCAACATTTATGGATCCTTCGAATATTCACATTGTTGTACCAATTTATAGAAAAGTATGCTCCATTATATATCATTTTAGTCTACATACATTCTTCTTTAAAGCTTACCAAATCATGGGCCTCATGGCTCGTAAAACCCAAATAGTTCCTCTTGAGGCACTGCTGCCTTTAAATCAGCTGTAGGCCTTTTCTTGTTCTTCTTGCCTCTACCATCATTTCTTACCTCTTCATTTGCACAGTACACCGCTGCATGGAAGCACTAAGGGGTTGTTTGTTTACTTCAGAATGATTAAGCGCTGAATGATTCAAATACTGAATGATTCAAATGCTGAATGATTCAGAGGTTCTGTATGAATTAGCTCTGAATGTGACATGCTGTTTGATAATGACTCTGAATCATTCAAAATGTACTTCTGTGCTGAATCATTTAATAATGTTTTGCTGAATCAGTCAGCACTGAATCATTCAGAGGTACGAAACAAACACGCTGAACGTTGAATGGTTCAACATGCAACGCTGAATGGTTCCATTAAGAGGCAAACAAACAGACCCTAAGTCTCTCATTCAGGTTGTTTTTGTTCAGCTGATATCCATCTACAAGCTCTTATTGTGGACTGCTTTATAGTTTGATTAATACTCCCTATGTCTCATAAATTTTGTTCCATACTGATTAATTACATAATTTTAAAAGATAAATTTGACCACGTATAAAATAAAATAATTTACAAAATTATCTTTCAAAATATTATTAATAGATATAACACATTTATTATGATAATTTTAAAAGAAAGTGATATATAAAGTAAAATATGTATATTAGAATTTTATTTTCTAACATGACATTTTGAATTAAATAATTTAAATTTTAAAAATGATAAATTTGGTGAGACGGAGAGAATATATTCTAGTCAGTGCACTCTTACCTTTTTTGATGTTCGACTTTTTTCTAGATTTTTTCGTTTGATGAATGCCACGAAATTTCGAAGTCAGGGATTACCGATGAATTAGCATTTTAAATTGAAGTGGTTGTTATTATTTAGGGTAAATTACATAAATGGTCAATAATATTTGACTAAGTTTTTGGTTTTTCTATTAAAGTTTTAAAAGTAACATATTAGTTACTAATGTTGTCGATTTATAACAAAAAGGTCACTCCACCTCATCCTAGTTAAAGTAATGACGTGATAATGTTAATAAAATTTACCCCTAAACGACTATTAAAACATCAAATATGTCATTAAACAATAATTTTATATCTAATTTATCCCCCCAAAACTTTTTCATTTATGTTCTTTTTCAAATACCCATCACCATCATCGTATTGCTCCCCTCCCCGCCTCTCCCGCCTCTCCCATTGTATTCCTGCAACCCTCGTGAGCCGGTTAATTATTGTGCAAGCATTGAACGTTGCAGGGAGAAACAACAAGAGAGCAGTCCAAACACAAACCCTGCAAAAATATTTATCTTGTAAGATCAAGTACTTATATGAAAAACTCTCAATTTAAACCGATAACGGCGAAAAATTATTCTACCATCCAGTCCAAGCCAAATATAATTCTTGCCCCAAGTCTTCTCTTCCTTTGGTAAAGTTGTACAAATATGTATACATAATAACAGTAGGCTATGCACCTCCCAAAATCAAAAGAGATCGGTCATTGAATATCGTAGTGATAGAACTTGTATCTCGGCTCATTTACATAAAAAGAACAAGGGTTAAAAATAACGTGTAAAACTCCATGACCATGGCAGAAAGCAACATCTCTGCACAGTTGGTACATCAAATTCTGTTAAACAAAGATCACAAGCATTAATGAAAATATTCACATTATTACATACATCTTATAACATAGTAAAAAGAGTGAGAGAGGGAGACCTGACAGTGTTAACGAGAATTTTCTCCCCCGTATTATGAAAGGATACGATGAATTTTTTGAGATCGATATGCATGTACTTAAACACCAAGTAGAGAACATTATTTCATTCCTTCATTTTTCCCTGTTTAACCTCCATCAATATGTAATATGAACATTGAAAAGTTCATATAAAATTAAAATGGAATTTGAGAGTGAAATCATCACAAGAACAAAAAAGCAAAAGAAAGACACGTTGACTCGAGTCTCGCGAGAGAGCATTTTCAAGATGGAAACCTCGTAGAGAGTGGTGGTAAGGACGCCTTCATCATCAAATACTTTTTCTAAATGTAACATTGACAGAACTTGTATCTCGACTCAGTTACTTCCCAAATGCGATAACAGGTAGAGCAAAAGCAAAGGAGATGTAGGCAGTTGGGGCTAGTACTCTGCAAGCAATCAGAAAATGTACAGTAAAATCATTTACTATGGTGGTGGTGGTGGTTGGTAAAAAAAAAAGGGAATTAATTTTTTTTGTGTGAATAAATTGGTATAAAATCATTGTTTTAAGAATTTATTTGATGTTTTAATATTAGTTCAAGGGTAAAATTAAATCTTTATCTTTTTATTAACAATGCCACATCATCCATTTAATGGAAATATCAATAATGTTAGTGACCAATTAATGAAAATATCAATGATGTTAGTTATCAATGAAAAAAATTTCACTTACTCAAATGGTTACCTACTCACTCAAATAGCAGTGACCATATATGTAGTTTACCCCGTTATTTAATCACCCACCTTGAATAACGTCATGTTATAATTTAAAATTATTTATTCTTCTTATGCTAAATTCCAGCTGAACGTGTGATTCGGAGACAAGATTATTAGAATCCAATGATCTAACTTAATGTCAATCCATGCCGCTGCTGTCTTTTTCAGGAGACAGCTGTTATGCCTAACACTAAACATGTGAATACACATTATTATAATGTTTATCACATTGTCATCGCATCGGTCATCGGCCCTACCATACTTAACATCAATTGCACTTAAAACGTTAGGGTTAAGGTTATTTAATTATGAATAAATTCCTATAATTTATAATTTGTTTAGAATTTACACTCCACCCACAATCCCAAATCGGAAGGGATAAAAATAAGTCGGGCCTAGAGCAGGACCACATCGCAATAAATCTATCCATGTGCGCTTACTCTCAAAATCCCACTCCCAACCATTTTCTCATATAAACTTTTCATTTTATTTTTACGATAAACTTATAAATAAATTAACAAAAAAGAAAATAAATGTTTAAGAAAAAGAAAAGCACTCTAATCAAAATAATGACTCAAAAAAGAAACAAATCAACACACACCGACATAATTACGAATCAGGACAAGAAAACTGAAGAAACGACAGTGGCAAAGATAGTGAAAACAATACTGCTTAAAAGAGGAGCTGTCACATGACCGGCACCTTTATTCGATGTGCTGTTCTCCGAAGAACCTGCTGGCGCATCAGCCGGAGATCCGGCAGGAGTGTCTGTCGGTGGAGCCGGTGGTGAAGCCGCAAGCGGTGACGGTGCTTCAGACAATGGAGATGGACTCGGTGTCGGTGTGGGCGAGGAAACTGGCTCCGGAGCAGGTGCTGGGGATGGTGACTTTCCGAACAGCTCGGTTGGAAGCAAAACGCTGTCGACGGTGAAAAAGACAACCGGTGGCGAGTCAAAAACCGCTTCGTTCACTCTGGCTGGACCAACCCCCGTGTGTAGTGTAACGTCGTCGCCGGCGGACGTAGCCGTCAGATCGAACTTCCCAGCGCCGCTAGTCGCAAGCGTACTGATCGGATCTTTCTGGGTCTTCAAAGTCCCCTTGGGTTTGTAATCCGGCGAGGCGTGGTACTCCAGAAGTGAAACTTGTTCGGCATTGGTGAGTTTGCTCAGATCAGGGACACCTTTCGCTTTGAAAGCTTCATCGGACGGAGCGAAAACGGTCAAACCTTTATCAAGCGCAGACTCGTAAGTCTTGAGCACGCCACTACTGGCGAGCAAAGCAGCAAAAGTCTTGCAGCCGGCTTTTTCAAGCAATCCGGTAATGTTGACGCCGGAAGACGACGGGGCCGGAGCCGATAAGATACCCGGAGCAATAATCGGAGCACTGATCTCAAGGATGGAGATATTATAAGGAATCTGCTTAACAGATTTCGTGTAAGAGGAGTCGAGTTTGGAGCCGGGAATGGCGGAGCCGAAACCCACTTTGCCGCCTTGGATATCGGTAATGTTGACGAACCCAAGATTTCCGGGAGCATTCCCGGTGGTTTGGTAAAGCGTGGTGGTGAGTGTAGTGCCTTTGGAGATTTTGTGGAGCTTTGGAGGGTCGTAGTAATCTAGAAGTACGTGGAGGCTAAGGATGTTTTTAATGACCGACAAGGGGTGTTTGGCTGTGAGGCCGACATTGCTCCATTGTTGAGGACAAGACAAGTGATCGTCTCTCTGGTGTTGATTTCATCAGCTAATTTTGTTTGTGAAAGGAAGCTGTTGTAAGATGAGTAATCTGGGTAGCCTTCGAGAATGGCTGTTATGTTGTGAGCATTGACCGAAACAGCAACCAGAGAGAGAATAAGAAGAATGAAGTTTGCGTCGGCCATTCTCGAAGGTTGAAGAAGAAAGAGACATGCAATAGATCCAAGTCAGTGAAGAGCTAAAAAGGGAAGACTCTGGAAGGCTATGGTTTTAACCAGGGTCAATAGTTAACCATGGTTGAGTTATGGAAAAGGATGGGGCCACGTGGGATGGGTCAGGCCACAGCTGGAAAGGAAATTTTATAAGGATTTTGTTTTGTGTAAATGGGTGGAGTGGAATTGACGATAATGGACCTGCCTCTTTAGTTTATACCATCATTCAAGCTATCCGTTATGCTTATGAATATGATTGATGAAACGGGTATCTTCATAACGGCTATAAACCCAAGGTTAGAGCTCAAATTCTTTTGCGTTCGCTTCGGCTCATTTACTCACTTGCCATTAAACAATAAATTTACATTTTACTATATTTTACTTAAAATATGAGTCAACAGAAATGTTTGTATAAAAATTTATAAAATTGAACTCATAGATAGTTTTAATGTGGTTTATTCTCTTCGATGTTTTAAGTTCAAGCATCAGTGTTTATTGGTCGCTCATATTTAATGATTGATTATAGATCAAGCCATATAATTTTACATACAAATTTATTATTTTTATGGCGGTTACTCTTTTTCTTCATCTTTATTTTATATATAACGATAATAATTTTAGTGTTTGTTGGTATTTATTATTTTCCTTTACTTTTTTATATAACAATTTACTTTTTTTTTTGTTAGTTTTTAATAACTATATCTTTATGGTGTGTTTTCTTCTACGTTCTAATATGTTTCTTATATTTTTATTAGTCGTTTGATCGATCTTTTTGTTTATTTTTGTCTCAATGTTGGATTTGATGTTACTCTAACTGATCAAGATAGAATATTTGTATTCTTGTTGATATTTCCTGTTTTGAATCATCAAATTGAATTTAGATACGTGATTTACGTTCGAATAAAGTTTTCTCACGTCACTCGATTATGATTTACGATTTCTTGATGATTTTCTAGTAGTTTGATCTCTTTTTATGGTTATTTTATCGATACAGTCATATTTGTCTGTATTTATTATATCTTGTTCGATTTTTCTAATTGTGTTTTAACCTTTTAACAAACATATTTGCAGCCTCTAGTGCACGAGCACCTTTTGACAGTAAGATTTGTTCATATCATAATTAAAACTTAAATATCTTTATAGTTTCGTGTGCTCGAACTTGAAATCTCTAAACTAGTAACGTAACTTAATTCATAAAATATAACAATCATATTTACTTCTCATGATTCAATTTACTTTTATAAAGCTTGTTCCCCAACTAGATCACTTGCCACACCCCTACATCACCGCCATAAAATCATATTCTCAAGCATCTATCTGTGCTATTTAACCTTTCTCCTTTTGGTCTTCGTTGTGTGGTCCTCAAATGCCAACAAAATCATGACATATGCGGAGATAACGGGGCTATGGTGCCGGATCGGCAAATTTTCTGAGATAATTAGTGATAAGGGAATTTTTTTTATATAAAGAGTGAATTATCTACTGAAATAGTATGAATATTACATAATTAATAGGAAATTATTTGAATCACTTGATATTTTTTTAAATACGTATGAAAAATATATTGTACTTGAGAAGACACGATGTCTTCCTTAAGTTATGTGTATAGTCCGCAACAAAAATTTTAAGAATCGAAAATAATTATAAAATAAGTCGAGTTATTTGAACATCTTCTATAACAAATATCTTAATTGAAAAAAAAACAAATTTTAATACACTTCGTATGAACACATCTTTTTTTTCACAGTATTGTCTAAAAAAATTACCGATATACTGAGTTTGTTTTCTTCTTTTCACGTATGAGCATACCAAAGAAAAATTGATTGGAGGATTGTGATTAGTCCTGTAAACGAACCGAACGCACACGAACGGAGGTATGTTCATGTTCGTTCATTTAATAAATAAACGAACAAATTTTTTTTTTGTTCATGTTCGTTTATTAAGGAATATAACTTGTTCATGTTCGTTTATTTAATAAATAAATGAACATAAACGAACATAAATGAACACGAACATAAATGTTGGAGACCCTACCTTCCATTGTTCTTTCATGAAAAATAGTCGACAATGCAAATCAACCAAATCTACAGTGATAAATAGCATAAGAGTTGATTAGCAGTGATGAAATGTTTGAATATATCAAATATTTCGATCGATCTTTTAAAGATATTAAATTATTCACACGACTTAATTTAACGATATAACATTTATCTTAGTGGTCCATGATTAAATATGAACAATCATTTTTCACTACATTATTCTAATAAATTCGTCGGCTAAAAGTTTTGTGACATAAATGTCAGACTTTAGTGAGGTTTGTTAATAATGGTCTTTTCTGTTTGCAGATTATAAAATTTAACAGCATGAAGATTTCGAACGGTACAAATTGGACTACAAGGCAATAACATAGATCCGAAATACCTTCGATGCTACATATCGTAACTGATTTTATTGCTAAGCCACCATTCAAAATTTTAACGTACCTAAAGTCTACTCTACAACTAAAGGCTACACAAGAAATATGAAAACAAAAGTTCATTGTCAAAGTGTATTTTCTACTTATTAATGGGTTCTTCATAGAAAACTCATTACTTTCGCTATTACACTCTTTTGCAGAAATTACATTGAAACTTTTGTTTTGTTTTCTGGCAAATTCTATATATTTTTCTCTTTACTGATGCTCATATACTTTCGATTGTTACATTTATCTTCCCATCTATTTCTAGAAAGAAGTATGATGTTTTCTTGAGTTTTAGATGTGAAGATACCCGCAATAACTTTACATATCAACTATTAAGCCAAATAAAACAGAGAAAGAGATGAAAACATACATGTAAAACTTCAGATTGCACTATAATATAACTTGTTTTGAAGCTTTCAGCGATCGTCTACACTCTCTAGTGAGCACTAGGGTTTGGGGAAAAAATGGGGAAAATGAATATAGGTGCGAGGTGCCTCACGGGTAAACATATTGGATTTAAACTCCAAAACAAATTGGGTTAATTATGAAATTGGTCATGAGAATATCAGATTAATTAATATTTTAAAGATACTTACAAATTGGTCACCAAAATTGATTTAAGAAGATTGAGTTAAACATAAATGAATGAATATAAACGAACATAACCGAATGAACATAACCGAACGTTCATGAACGTAAATGAACGAACGAGACCTATGTTCATGTTCGTTCATTTAATTAAACGAATACAAAATCTTGTTCATGTTCGTTCATTTAAAAAATAAACGCACATAAACGAACTTCCCGCCGCACGATTCATGAACGGTTCGCTGAACGTTCAGTTCATTTACAGACCTAATTGTGATTAGAATTTTCCGTACCAATCTAATTAATAATTTATATAAATTTATAATACTAATACAGACATAACCCATGAAATGGAGTGTTTTAATCCCAACAAAATTATGAAAATAATCAGCGATAACACACTCAAATTATCTCTAAACTCGATTTAATCTCATAAGTTGTTTTGTTTCCGAATAATAAACCATTATATGTGAGTAAAATTCGATGAAAATATTTTTTCAGTACGATATTGTCAGAACCGTATTTCAGGTGGGCTCGAAATTGGGCTTCAACTTGAATGAAGTAGTTAGAGTCGTCACCGATCATTTATTTTAAAATAAATAGGTCGATTGGATACCTCAATTTCTTACTTGATCTGCATCTTACCAAAGATATGTTGGATTCGGGAGTCGGTTACAATCAATGAATGATTAACACCATTGAATTGCCCTTTCGGTACGAATTAATTTACAGTTGTCTTACTTCAGAAAATTGTAATTTAAATTAAAAGATAAAATATGATTCAATTTACTTACCTCTGATAGATTTGAACGAAGACCTTTAAAAAGATAGCAATGTTAGATTTGTAATAAGTACAAAATCAAATTAAGATAGAAAATGCATAAATACGAAAATAACAAACGAAACGAAAAAATAACAAAGGAAAAATAAAAAAAATAAAAAATAATGCAAGATAAATAAAATGGTAAAATAAACAAAAATAACAAAACAAAATGAAAAAAAAGAGAAAAATAATATATATATATATATATATATATATATATATAATGTAAGGAAAACAAATAATAAAAAAGTAAAAATAAGTAAAAATAAGAAAAATATGATAATAATAATAATAATAAACCAAAAAAGAAAGAAAAATAGTAAAAATAAAAAAATAAAAAAAATAAAAAAGTAATATATATATATATATAATAAAATGATTGAATTGAAATAAAAATCAAATTTGAGGGTCAATTTCAAAGCAAAATCAGGGTATTAATTCAATTTAGGACTAAAATGCGCTCTTAAAAAACCACGGGGGACCAAAACTGGAATTCTTCCATATTGAATCAAAAACACGCGGGTCAATGACATGGGTCGGTTCAACATACGGGTCAGAATGGGTCCATGGGTTACATATAAAATCCAAAAATCAACTAAAACATTTCATTGTTTTCATTTTTGCCAAACATAAAGCCCTCTCCCCCTATATTTTCTCTCTCCTATTCTCGGGGTGTTCTTCATTTGAAGAACAACCGCCGCGAAAACCCAGAAACTGGCCAAACGTCACCTCGTCGGCCGCCGTTCATCGGTGGTGTACTTTTTTTCTTTTATGTTTTCGAATGCTCTTCTTGCCTAGTTTGTGAAAATCAAAACATTTTTTTAAACAAGCCTCGGGAGGGCTAGATCTAAAGAAAAAGATCTCGAAAAAGCCCTCCCTTTCGGTGATCGACGATTTTTTTTCCAGATCGAAAACAAAGAAAATTAAACATGCAAGCCTCCAAGCCGAAAAAGGTACGGACTTTACTTCTTATTTCTCTTTGAAATTGTACAAAAATAATGCTTCGATCACTTGTGTAATTTTCTGAGTAATCTCTTGTGTTTGGTGTGATTTTTGTGTAATATATTATGCTTTGGTTTGTTGATTACATCTTATTTATAGGTACAAACTACCCTATTTTTAGTTTGATAGAATCCTAT